TTTAGAAATTATTACAATTCCAAATTTCAGGTACGAAACTTTGTACCCTCGGTTCCAGACGGATTTTTTCCGCTGATTTACTACTGAGAGCCGCGGGGGGGAAAATCCCTTTGGAACCCAGGGTACGAAATTTGTAAATACTGAATTCTTTCAAAATTCCATTTTTTAATCGGTTAATTGCAAAGATAAAACTGTCAAAAATCTCTCAAATTCGATTCAAATACCTTTTAAGGTATTAGGATACGAAAAATGACGATTTGCTCGAAAAAAAATTTTTTTTGAAATTTCGTAACTTTAAACTTTTGTCTTTCATATGTTAGTGAAACTTCTTGCAATTTTTGATTGGAAAAGCCAAAATTTTGAGACAAATCAAAATCGTGACTTTATGAAGACCGGAAATGTCCCGTCGCTTTCAATAACGTTGAGTCCAAGTGCTCCTTTGTCGCTTTTTGCCGCTAAAACCTCAACTTCGAAAAGCTAAAAGTCCCTCGGATTTCATTCGATTTTTCTAAAATTTGGAGAGTTTAAAAAGAAACTCATGATCCGAAAAAGGGTGTCTCCGATTTTTGAAATTTAATTTTTTTCCCAAGTTGACGCYTTTTTCTCTAAACAACACTCCAAAAGCAATCGTCAAACTCTGATCAAAAATAGCGAGAGATATAAAATAGATATMAAAAAACTGGGACACCCTTTTTGAGCTTATTATCTCCTGAGTATGTTAAGACATTTTTCGCAAACATAGCCGCTAGTTAAAATGTACGTGTCCGTTAACGTTTTTACTGAGGCATGGTCAAATTTCGCTTCGAGGACAATAACGTGAACAACAATTTAAAAAATCGTATTTTGAAGATTTCTTCATAAACTATGTTTATTCAGCTTTCAGAAAATGTATACTTTGTTTGTGTTATACTATAAAGCMAGCGCGTTATTTCAGTTTGCGCGCATAGTGGTCGTAAACGTATCCTAATACCTTAAGTTCCTCTTCTGCAAGTTATATGAGAGAACAAAGTATTTCTATCAAACAATAAGCACTAAATCAAGGAAAAATTCAAACTCTGCCGAGCAGAATCCTAGACAGAGGAAGGCTGGGTGCAAGTCTAATTACGTATGCACCCGTGACGTGACACAACTTCAGGTCAAGCTTCAGATTACGAATTCCAAGAAATCCGAAGAATAATGGGAGGTTGAAGAGAACTAAAGGGAATTTGTAAATATATTTTTATCTTTGCGTGGCTTTAGTTTGTTAAGATTCTGAAGGTTGTACCATTACTCATTTCCCCACGGTTTTTCAAATCCCTCCTTGGTAAAACGGCATCAAAATAATCATCCTTGAGACAGAGATTTCCAGGGAGATAGCAACGTTTTTAGTATTTTAAAACGCTATGCATGATAAACGCGACCCATGAAGTGGTATAGAGAATAAGAGAAAACGCCACTGAATGTTTTGTGTCGAGGAACATCACTGCCAGTATCCTTGCAGAAGTGTTTACAAGACAAAAATGGTTGTACACAACGTTGCAGAGGTGTATTTACGTATGGTGCAATGACTTTGTTCTGTTGCAACGTTCATCAAATAGAATTATAGCTAGGAAAGCAACAACATAATATCCACACTGGGCTTCCTGTGGCGGCTTTGTATTACRATACTTGGGGGTTTTCCCTGTTACCACAGGAGGCTCAAGACATGCCCAGACATACCATGCGAAGTCAAAAGAGGTCAATTCAATAACCACGTTTGATTTCTTAAAATTCAGACTTGATTGCAAGGCTAGCCGAAAAGGCGAATCAATTTTGAGCCTTTGCTGAGTAAAAGCAAGAAACCATGAAGGATGGCTTCTTGGTAAAAGATAATCTTAGTGTGTTAAAGCTACAAGATAGCCCCTATGTGCTGCCAGGCGTGAAGAGCCTTATTAATAAAGGTTAAAGCTATAATTAAACATGAAGTCGTGGTGTGTGACTAGACGCGTAAATAGCTGCTGAAGATCACGTGAAATTCTAACAGACAAGAYTTTACAAAAGGTTTCAAACAAGCTGCTTTAAGCTGTTTAAAATTAGACATGGATTCACTCCTTGCAGATCTGAAGAAGGAAGTCAAGTGTTCTTTGTGTGAGGATACACTTACTGAGCCCAAGATTCTTTCATGTTTCCATACATTTTGTAAGCCTTGCCTCAAAAGTCATGCACAACTGATTGAAGAAGCCATCGTCTTCAAGTGTCCTGAATGTTTTTCACAAACTATTCTACCAGCAACAAACAGCGTTGAAGAACTAGAGCCAAGTCTYTTACGTTCAAGAATCTTGGAGGGTCTGGCGTTGGTAGAAGGAGAAAAGATTTGTTCTGTTTGTTCTGAGGGTCATTCTCCAGCATCTTGGTATTGTTTTGACTGTGATTACTCGATGTGTGATGAAAAATGTAATAAGAACCATTCGTTATTCGCCAAAGATCACAAGGTCGTTCGTCTGGCTGACTTGAAGAAAGAAGAAACTGAACAGATAATAACAAGAGAAAATCCTTGTRAAAGTCACCCTCAGCACAGGCTAGAGTTGTTCTGTGAAGACTGTGATGACATGATTTGTGTGACATGCTGGAAATACGATCACAAGGATCATAAGACGATGTCTTTAGAGACCTTTGCTTCGATCAAGAAAGATGTATTGTCAAAGCATCTGCGGGTACTAGTGCAGTTAAGATTAGATGAAGAGCAAAAACAACAGCAAGAAAACATTGCTAACAAAATCAAACAACAAGGAGAAAAGGCCAAACAGGAAGTGAAAGAAAAAACAAAGACGATGATAGAAATTCTGCAAGAAAATGAACGAGAACTGCTGAAACAAATCGATGAGCAGTTGGATACAGCCACAAGAAACTTGAACATAATTCATCATATTCCAGCAGTCGAGGAATACATCAAGAATTTGATGAAAAGAGGACTGGCAAGTGAAATGTTGAACATTCAAGAGACACAGTGCTCGGAGAAATTCATCTTTAACACAATTCCATTATTCTCAAGAATTGTTTTTATTCCTAACCAAGTGCTAGTGCAACAAATAAAAACAGGCCTTGGAGAAATACAAACGTATTGCAAAACAGACCATACGATGAGCACTATTCTGGTGGAGGGTGAGCCAGAAGCTGCAAGGCAACAAAAGCTCGTATTGACAACCAAAACATCAACGGGATTGGATAGTATTAATACAGGCGATATCGTAGACATCCACATCAGCCCTAAAGATCACGTGGAAATAGAGGAGAAAGATGTGAGGACTGCTGGGAGAATAGAAGTTGAATTCATGGCTAAAGTAGCTGGTCAACTGACAGCAGAGGTTCAAGTGAATGGGAATCATGTATCTAACAGTCCACTAGTGGTGAATGTCAAGCCTCAACAGATGAGAGTAATAGGACCGTTTAACATGAACGGTGTGGATACTGAGTCTCATAATTTGACAGGTGTAGCAGTAAACAGAGACAATAGTAGGATCGCTGTCGCTGATGCTTCTTCTCACTGTGTCCATGTATTTAAGACTAATGGAGATCTCTTACTGACGTATGGTAGTGAAGGTGGTTCACAGGGAAAGTTACATGGTCCCGAAGGTTTAGCATTTCTGAATGATACAGATTTAGTCATAGCAGACTGGGGTAATCAAAGAATATGTATAGTGAACACTACAACAGGGACATTGATCAAAACCTTTGGAAAACTAGGCCAAGCGACTGGGGAGTTTTGTTGCCCAATAGGAGTCCACGTTGATGACGATGGTACTATCATTGTTAACGATTGTGATAATCATCGTGTTCAAGTTTTCACAAAAAATGGTGACTATCAATATCAGTTCACTTTGCCAAAAGGAGCCAAATTTGATCCAGTTAGTACAGTAAAGCATGGTGGTCTGTTTTACGTTAGTGATCATAATAATAACATCATTCATGTATTTGAGAAGAGATGTAAGGTACCGACTAGAATATCGACGATTGGTGGTGAAGGTAGTGCTGATGGACAGCTGTTTAGACCATGGGGCCTGGCTGTTGATAATGACAATCATCTACTCGTGTGTGATCGTGCTAATAATTGTATTCAAAAGTTTACACTTGTTGGTCGTTTGGTAGGAAAAACTAGTAAGGAAATCAAAAATCCCGTATTTACATCAGTGCTGAATGATGGACGGTTATTAGTCAATACACTTCGTTCTGGTGTGTGGTTTGTCGCGAGTATAATGTAATCACTTGTTTATAATGATAATGTTGATGATGATCGATGGCGGTGGTGGTGTTTGATGGCAATAGTGGTGGTGGTGATGGTGGTGGTGATGATAATGATGATGATGATAATGACGATGATGAAGCTAATGCTGATGATATTAGGGACCTTAAGCTGAAGGACGGCAACGTGCGCGACAAAGTCGGCGAAAATGAGGCGCTTCAACCTTCTATTGTATTATTATTTCGTGTTTACCTAGTATATTACTCAATAAGCATCCCCGTTTTAGAGTGAAATGTCGTCTTTTGGGAGCGCTTTACTTATAACGAAAATCGGCAAAGACAAGCTTTTGGCGTAGCCGTTCTCTTTAGTACGTCAAAATAGGACATTTCACGTCTTACTTTCAGCATAAGACGGTAATAATGCATAGTATTTCGTACATTCCAGCTTAAGGTCCCTATTAACGATAATAGCGATCTTTAGATACGACGACGAGTACGAGATCGAGATCGATTACGAGTTTTGAAATTGGTCCTGTGCACGTGGTTAACACTAAATTTTCAAGTTTCAAGTTTCAAGTTTCAAGTTTATTTTTACAAAATAATGACTATACATACACAATTTATCACCCTCCCGCAAATAGCATAAAGCTAATCTAATCTACTAAATCGTAGTCGATTTCCGATTTTTTACAATCTAAAGTTTCAATCTACGTACACGATCATGACTACAAAAAGATAGTGCCTCTCTTTAAAAGTTAAACACTCGTACTCGTACTCGTTCTCGTACTCGTCGTCGGATCTAAAGGTCTCGAATGATGGTGACGACGACGACGATAATGATGGTGAAGATGATGATGAAGCTGATATTGTTGATGTTGATGATAATGACAATAATGATGATGATAGTGACGATGATGATAGTGATAGTGACGATGGGGATGTGATAGTGACGATGATGATAGTGATAGTGACGATGGGGATGTGA